TTGAGGCCGCACGACCCACCGTACAAAGTGCTACTTTTAGCATGCGCGGCCAGCTGCATTACGGGCACTATCTTAGCCATTACGTAATGGATGGGCGAGGGAGGAGGTAATGCGCAAGCGCAATTGCGCGCGTAACTTGGATACCCTATTAGTGTGCGCCAATAGACACCGGCAGATAACAATGAAGTGCGCATACTTAAGTGCCGAGCTTAAGGGCAGTGTACCGAGGGCACACGGATAAGCATTACACGAGATATACAACCCACGTTTTGAGCGCGAAATCAAACTGGTGAGATTGTAGTTGAACAGTAATTCTCAGTATTTTGCAATTTCTAATCAACTCGCAAAACAAGAATACCAGCAGAACTAAAGCTTTGTCAACTGGAGGAAATTGTAATAATTCAAGTTCGTGGAGAGAGGGTTTTGAGTGAAAATAGCCTGGAAAGAAAGAGACAAAGCGACCAAAGAAAGCAAGAAGTAAAAGGCGTGAAGCGAGTCAAGTAAAACGCGCAAGAAAGTTGGAAAGAACGTCAAAATAAGCAGAATACGGTGAGACGAACGCGAAAGAGAACAAGAAAAGGCATAAGTAAAAAGGCGAATATCTAGCGAGGAGAAAATGCGAGAAGGAAATACAAAGACGCTCCAGAAAACAGACTGAAAAGAGGTCATCAACATAGAGAAGCGAACTACGAAGGATCCGACAAAGAAGAGGAGGTAAGTCGTGTCTTCTCTGGGTTTTCTCTTACGCTAAGGACCAGAAAAATTCCAGCCCTTTTTTACCAATCGTCGATTAATACTAGCTTCAGTATATGTATATGATTCAAATCACGTTTCGGTAAAACAGTGACTTTGGCATTCATCGCTGTAAAACCTCGCGCCGGTTCATCGCTAGAATAACATTTCAAAGTTTTCCTATTCTTCAAGTTATTTCTTGTCCTATCGTTTGGAATGTTTAATACAGTCGTGGTGTTAAGAGAAAAGAATATATCTAACGGATTTTGTTTTGCCTAGAAAGTTTTCAAATAGGAACGAACGGCGTAAGCAAGTCTCTAAAATTGATAGTCATCACATTTTGAAGGAAGCGTCCGAGGTCAGTGATCGTGTAATTAAACGGGTTCCTGGCAATTTGAGTTTACGAAATCGCTGGTAAGCACACGGTTAGCGTAAATAATTCTTGATTACAGTTTTTGAATTCAAGTGCAGTTTTTTAGAGTCCGTTTTCGTAACCTACCTGGATATTTTCTGTTTAATTCATTGAGTTACAATCTCGGAATTTCATATGTGATTATGAAAGATAAATTCGTATCGGCACCATAATTTCGGGAAGTAACATATTTAACCATTTATAGCAAAGTTTCATTTAACATAGAATGTTTCAAGAACTTTCTTCTATTTATTATATCTGGAGTACAATCAAAGGAAACAGGTTCTTAAAAAAATTATAACTTTTGATTCAGGTAATTATCTGAATATGTGAGTAACCTTTGATGTTTTCACATGTAACAGGATGATCAAGCTGACGTCAGCCTCAAAGAGCAGTAAACTCGACCGTAACAATTAGGTGAAATGTCAGTCCCCATGCAGGAACCTTACAAATGACCTTTACAGTCATATGCTATGAGATAACTTTAGAAAAATGCATTTGTGTCGGTAGAACTATTGTAAGTACAGTACCACCTAGTGACAAAAATTAATGATTTCCTTTCGGTATGAATGTTTGGGAGAAGTTATGGTGGTAATTGACTCTCTTTTTGCTAAGATGCATAGGGTTTGATGATTGTAATGTATGTTTTTTTAGCTTTCAAACTTTCAACTTTGTATTAATTGTGACTGTTTACCATATCTATTTCTCAGTACCTTAAACCCTCTAAAGTTGAAGCAGGTGAGTCAATAACCCGAATTTCTTTATTTGGAATCGTGTGATTATACAATTTTGCTGTGTAAGTTACCACAATGTAATATGCAATATTATTATTTAGACTGCATTAAATACTCTTAATGAAGCCTTCATTAATGCATGGTGTTTTTTACTCATTTGCACATACTCAAACTAAACATTGATGTAAGGAATTGGTCACCAGATTGCGAGTTGGGTGGGAATCTGGAAAAGCAAGGATCCTCTTTTAATTAGGACTGAAATAAATGGGGCCCCTCCCTTTTAATTATTGTTTTAACTTTGACCTGCGTCCTCCCCTTTAATGTTTAGGGCACATAGATGAAGAGAACATTTTTTGTATTTTGATGCATGAGATTTAAATTAATTGGCATCCACATAATGCACAAAGGAAAAATGTAAATGTCTTAGCTTCTAGGTTAAAAAATTAAAATAAGAGAGTTATGCAGACCATATCTTACTTTTTATCCTCCTCTGGATATTTACTCACAACAACAAATAACATAGTCACTAGCACTTTCATACACTTTCAGTATCCTCTTAGCTTGTGGAAAGATGACAATGTCAGAATTTTTCAAACGAAGAATGAAAAGCCTGCCCTCTAACCACGGAGAGTTCTTTTGTGTATTATCAGTACATACCTGGTCTATTTTATACATGGAGGTTATTGTTTCAGGTAAGCTAACCTTAGAAATTAGTTCTGAGATTTCTTGAACTTGTCATTGTATGAATGTTTGACTCAATTATACTTGGTCAACCTAAATTGAAAAAATAGTATCTTAAAATTTAATTCATGGCAGGCGTAAACTACAGGTTTGTAGGAAATCTGCATGCGTGTGTGTTTTTAACATATAAAACTGAGATTATGAGTACTTCGAATGACTTTATAACTTGCCATCCAGGTACGGGCAGGTATTTCAAAACAATTTTCTTAATTTTTTCATCAGCACACATTTCTTCTTCTTAGAATCTTGTTTATCTGGCCAATACTGAATTCTAATTTTTCAACCAATTTTTATATTCTTTTGAAAATTCCTAGATCTCTTTGCATCTGTTATTATTCATGTACTTAAAATAATTTAATGAAATCTTGCAGATGTATGGCACATTATTTTTCCTCTGATCTTTCTAATATTTTATTATGTGTTAGGATTGGTTGAGGCTATAAAAGTATAGTCGAGCCCATACGCTTCTGGTGTATTGTCTGACTAACTCGCTGTTCTCACGTTTGCACCCTTCAATCGACCGCTAATGTCTTTAAACGCGAAGTAGTTTGCCGTCGTTTCTTTCGATTTTGGCTCATTTTCCCAAATCGAAATTATCATTCACGCTAAATAGAATATAAGTTCAACTGATGCTGATACTTCATTTGAAGGAGAAAACATTCCCTATCTTTGAAAATTTGCTCAAAACATCAAGAACATCAACGAAGGTACTCAATTTTTCCCACCCCCCGGACTGGCCCCTAAATTCCCTTCAAGAAACTCTTCTACGGCTAGTACCAACGAAGGGTTGGAAAATGAACTAACTAGAGCTCCGCTTTTAGGCTTGGCTAAATGTATATCTTAGCTAATTCGTGCCTCGTGCAGGGTAGCTGTAGCTTTTTTCTCTTTGTCTTTTTTAATTTTTTTTTAAAACTAAGGTGAAACCGACTCCACATTTAACATATTCAAGAGGAAAATCATACTTTTTTTCTGTATATGAGTACTAGCCGACTAAACTGATTGGGTATGAATGGTCTCAGCTGGGTACAGAACATCTGAGGGCAAAATATCTCCGGGCACGAAATGGCTGGTAATCTCACCGTTACAAAAAAGAAACATATTGTATCAGGTAGAATCATGATTCACGATGGTTTCGGAATAGAAATAACATTTCTAAAAGTGACAATCGTACAATTGAAAAGTGTCATACTAATCATAACGCACTCGCTCTTCTATGAGAAGAAAATTGTTTAAACAGAAAATCCGCGCAATGATTTTCGGAATCGGTTTCAAACAGATCACAGCCTTCAGGAAAGAGACATCTTTACAGACACCTTCGTTTTTGTTTAAGAAAAAAAATTATACTTATACGCATGTTTTCGGTCGAACGGGCTTTGCAATAGAGACAAAAAGCTTTACATATTGAAAAAGATATCTTACACTGCAATAGTTGGAATTTTGCTTCTCAACTTTATCAGGTTTTTAAAAGATCTGTTCACAAGCGTCACCTGTTGTTACTTTGTCATGGAAGAAAAACTACAAGTTATTTAAGTGTTGATCGCCGAGCTGAACTAAAAAAGTGCCAGGAGAATACGTACAATCCGCGCTCTTTGATTTAAAAAGAAGAACATTTTTTGATCAGTTTTCTTTTGTAACCACTAAGATTGTAAGAATTTTTTTTTTTTTTTTTTCTGAAGAGTGTTCTAGGAGAGATGCACATATATCAAAAACGAAAAATGATTAGGTTGATTCCTCGAAAACTTCTTATGAGCACATTGCCTTCAGAATCTCTGGTTACCAGTCCTTTCTTTCTCACGGTGGATTCGCAGCCAGTTAGAACCATTCGCGCCCAGTCAGCTGAGTTATAACGTACCCATGCTAATAAAACCCGTTTACCCATACTAAAAAACCTTTTTTTAAGAGTACGTTTGAAGAAATATCTGTTTCTGTTAAATAGCAATGTTACAAGCTTTAAATGAGATTTATTTACATATTAGCGTTCACTGGATACGAATGGTCTGAATTTTGATAAGAATCCACAGGGAACTAAACGACTGGACAGCTTGCATCTCTGTTGCAAATCTGAACAAAACTTCGGAAATACCTTATTTTAGCTTACCTTACAACTCATTCAAACAATACCCATTAACTGATAATATTAGATTAGGACAAATTTTTAACTTTAACAGGAAACCTCCCAGGTTTTATTAATAATTGATATAAATCAGTCGATCAAACAGTTCCTTTTTCTGTATAACAGGATTTGAGGTGATTAGATTTGAAGTCTGAAATAAAACGAAAACAGGAACTATCCTGGAAGGTAGATCAGCTATTCCAATTACTATTATAACTACTGTTTGCTGTTTTACAGAGAATGTGTTAAAGAAAACTAAATAATACAGTCAATTATCGTTTGAAACTCCTCTCAGCCATTCATCAATTTTCACAGCGCCATCATCATTTGAGTTACCACCAGTCAAACCTGAACAGTCTTCCCCACTGCAATACGAGCCTCCTCCGCCTCCGGCTTGGTGTTTATGAGTACCACTGCTTCCCCCAGAGTACCCACCACCTCCACCTGATGCCCCATTAACTCCTGTAACACCACCCCCTTCCCCCAGCTGCTCCTGTACAGGGCCCCCGTTAATACCACTATTCAGACCTCCAACTTTACCTCCGATCCAGCCTTCCGCACGTGAACCTCCCCTTTCCCCATGGGAGAAGCCTAGTCGGGTACAACCTCGGCCAAACCAACCCGCACCCACTCCTCCTCCATGATAATGACCGCCCTCTCTGTTGCATTCACCTGGCTGCCCATTTGTACCTCCATTTCGAACTCGTGACGATTCTTTTCCCACACTTCTGGTGCCACTTGAATCCGCCTGACCATCCACACCATTATACCCACCCGACGCACCCCCTCCTCCTCCGGCAGCCAATAACAGAACATCAGCTGTAGTATAAACAAAGCTTCCTCCTCCACTTCCTCCAGTGCCAGCATTTTCCTTCACAGATTTTCCAAGTTGAGCTGCAGTCTGCTTGGTGCTTTGTCCACCTTTGACCTCCATTGAATCTCCTCCTTTTTTTCCCACCACAATATTTAACACTGTTCCTCTATTCAGTGTGAACTTCCCTTCTTTAAATGCTCCTTTCCCACCATAATATGTTCCTGGAAGGTATCCATAATCGTATGAATGTGTTCCTCCCCGAGCTCCCCAGGCTTTGATGAGGTAGCGGGTGTTCTGCGGAACAGTAAACGTCTGTATCTTGCCAAAGCGTCCTCTTCTTCCACCGGTTCCAAATCCAGCTGGATAAAGAAGTAAAAAGAAATTAGGTATGCTACTAAAGAGGTACAAAAACCAATGAAAATGTAAATTACATAAAAATGTTAAAAAAAAATTTGAGTCAGTCAAGCAGTGATTCCTCCTGTCTATTTGCCTGTTTTTCTGTTTTTTTTGAGACAGATGTGCCCTCCCTCACAATCCAAACATTCTTACGTTCACAAGTTTGTCCATTTCCAAAAGTTCTAGTTTTGCAGGCACAGTGATAAGAACCTTGGGTGTTATCACAAACGGCGTTGGTATCACACAAAGATGGAGAAGCGGTGCACTCGTTAATATCTGTAAAAAAAGGAAGATGTCAGGTACCGCTTTTTTCCAAGACTGTCTAAGAATTATCAATAAGGGCTCACTTCCTCAAAGGAAGGTGAATTTTATTTTGCCTCCTTTTATGAAAAATTCTGTAACTTTCAAAGGAAAACGTTTTCTAGCCGACTTTCTATCACCTTAGAGAAACAAAAGGAATGGGAAAAAATTTATTATGGAGTACTCGTCCCTTACCTTTCCAGCAACGGTAGCGATTTGCAACACCGCAGTCTTTCAGACCAAGTTTATCTCAGTAATAATTACTGACCCCGCAAAATCCTATGGTGCTCCCTCTGCATTATGTTGGCGATTTCAGTCTAAGAGGGTAATTAGGTCTCGAGTACGGTCCGAGTTTCCAAGGAAAATGGAGGTGGTCCTTTTTGTTGGCGAGAAAATTATCTTGTTCGGGTACCACAGTTTTAGTGCAACCATGTGGCAGAACTTCGCCTTAGAGAGTGGTTTGTCAAATGCCCCTCAAATCCTGCCTTTCTTGTGATTTTCTTTATTACATTTCCTAACGTTTCTCTCCTCACTGGTCTATTGTAATACCACATCTCTCCTCTCGGTTTGGGCAAAGCACGCAAATAAAATGCGTCATTACTAATTTCTTCAGACACGTAACACAAATAGTTCTTCCGTAGCTCGACTGGACAGCATTCTGCATTAGTTTAATTTTTATATGCACAAACAACTTCTTCTTCTTTTTGACACGAAAATGGCACAAACCGTTGTTGGTTTTACTAATATCCTCCAAGTACTGCAAGAATTCACACCCCGATTCGAAATGACTCAATGCAATGTGTTTTATACTATGCAAATATTGTTCACATTGACGTTAACATTATTTCAAGAACACCATTATCACCTGTAGGTGATATACATAGATTATCATGCACAAAGATGAAAAAAAAAAAAGATGTTGCAATTTCTTCCTTTAAAAGGGAATTCATGCTAATTTTATTGTTTGCAGACCAACAATTGACAAGGAAGCGCCCGAAATCGCGAATATAATGCAGAGGGTGCACAATAGATTTTATGGGGGTCAGCCTAATATATCTTATAACGCTGACTGCTTCAGTAATGATCTATTAATTGTTGCTTTAATTATATAATCATGTTGTCTGACCTATCCGCTTTTTAGTGTGGTCATGAGGGCGACTGTTATGTCGTGTAGAAAACCCACACACACCGACCAGTACCTCGCCTATGATTCGTACCACCCACAATCTGTCAAGCGGTATTGTCAAGTGTCTACATGATCGAGCCAAACGGATCATCAACAAGCCATCCGGAACAACCCAGGAGAAAAAACATCCATCCACAGTTCTCGTCGCCAACGGCTACCCTCCGTCCTTCTTACAGAAAGTGACCAAAACCAGGAACTCAACACCCGAAAGGGAAACAGCAGAATTCAAATCTACCGTAGTGCTGCCATACATTAAAAGAGTCTCAGAACCCCTCCGCCGCCACCTACAGCAACAAGGAATATGCACCGTCTTTAAATCCGACACCACACTAAGATCCCGGCTGGTCAGACCAAAAGATCCCGCAGACCCAAACAAGCAAGATGGCGTAGTTTTCAAGATACCATGCACATGCGGCAAAGTCTACATCAGGGAGACAGGACGACCCATGCAGGAGAAATGAACGAGCAGACAGGGATATACGACTCGCACGCACTCAGAATTCTGCGGTCTCAGAACATGCCAACGGCATGCCGCTTTGGAACGAAACCAAATTTATTGACTAAGAAAGCCATTGGTACACAAGGAAAGTGAAAGAGGGAATTTACATAAGACTCAACCCAAACAAAATAAACAGAGACAACGGAACTGAAATACCGGAAGCGTGCACGTGGATTCCTACAATGAGGAAACATCTAAACCAACGACGCACGAAAAACCAGCGAACGCCTGAGGAAATCATGGTACATGGAAACAATAGCCGGATCGAAATGCACCAATTACAACAGACCACCATGATACATAATGCCGTGCCACAACCAGTCGACCCCATCGCCTGAAGAAGACTTGCAGTAAGCAGTCGAGACGTTGTGTTCCATATCAAGTGAATTTTGTCGTGAGACAAAAGAACAAACACAATATCAGGACGACTGTTGTCGGCCGTGGTGACTGACTTTGCAATCACATGAGCCAAAGAGATCATCAAAAATAACTGAAGAGTAATGGTCAGTCGAGTGTTATAAGACGAAAGCGGTAAATCATTGTAAACCTATTTGTCAGTTTAGCTGTGATGGTATTGGCTGTAAGACTCAAGGCGCGGGATGGTTTCAGACAAACCCCTCTGTACGGCAAACTCGTTGTAATTGTAGGAGTTGCACAGTTTTGGCTTATGAGATAATTTTGATTTAAAGTTTACGTAGAGAATAAAATATTTCGTCATCATTTAGTGATATCAATCAAGCCACTGATTCTTAGCTGACGCGACAGAGAAAAATTGAACACAGAGCGAAAAAGACAACAGTCATAGGAATGAATGAATGAAGAGATGCCACTAATCCGAGAAAAAATTGTAAGGGAAGCTGCAGAGTAATAGTGTTTTACATGACAAGGGAAAAATCATTGTTGCTGATTGAGATTGCCAGGTGGACCCCTGATCCCCAGAAAAACCTGTCAAATAACGTTACTCTTAGATCTCGTTATGCATTTTTCGGCATTGCGGTGTTTGCACAAGTGACTTTCCCCTTGCTTCAGTTGTGAGTATTCTCAGGGCACTCATTAATGTCTGAAATGAGACCAACATATACCGTACCGCCATGATCGTCTTCGCTAATGTTGAGGCGGAATGTGGAAGGGGGGGGAAAGACAATATAAAACTTTGAAATAACAGTAAGAATTGAGAGCTGAGAATTTTCACCCAAAAAAGAACGCAGAAAAGACGGTAATGACATGGTGATCCATTGTCAGCTAAAGAAAATGATACAAATAAAATTAAAATTGGGACTATCAATAGCATGTGTCCACCACGGAGAGCGAAATCAAATAAATACGCCACGTCTGATACTCTAAGAACTGGAAGGTCTGTTAACAAAAAAATCACCTTTGGTGCAGGTAGCTGTGTGGGTTTTACAGTTGCGAGTATTTTCAAAATACTCATCAATGTCTGAAATGAGATCAACACACCATGACGTCGTGATCGTCTTTGTTTATATTGGTGGGGCGGTGGGGGGGTTGAATGAAAAAATTCGAAATGACAGCAGGACCTGATGATACAGTTCATTTATAGTATATGTATGATCTTGATGTTAAAAGGTAATTTTGAATTCTACTAAAAACTACGAAATCCTTTGGGCTGGTTTATTACCGTAAAAACAAGAACACCAGGCCTTTGTTTGACTCGCTTTTGAGATGGGGAAACATTTATAGTGGCCCGAAGAAATTCCATTACCTGTGCAATCTTGTCCATCCCCACTGAATCCAGGTTTACAAACGCACTTGAAAGATCCCTCTGAACTTTCACAAATAGCATTATTATTGCTACAGTTACAGGTAATGTTGGCATATTCTTCGATGTCTGAATTACAGAATGACAATGAATAAAGATACAAGTTAAAGATATCTCTTCATTTCCTCGAATGGCGTTGTCCTTGTTTTATTTATGGGTATTTCCAGCATATTCGAGGAAAGAAAGAGAGGGCGATTCGAGGGAGAAAGGCTTTTATATATGTTATAAAAAAATACAACATTGCGAGTTCATCCATTTTTGATGGTATAGGAAAATTAAAATCAGGAATCTGGGGCCTGCTACCTAGAATAATGAGAATTTCAGATACCCTGCCTTTGTTGCTTTCTCCCGATATGCTAAACCATCGTGCCATAAACTAATTCAGTAAGCATATTTCTAAACCTTCAATTACATCGGCATTCTCGTTACAATTGTGGGAATTTAGAGCACACTCATCGATGTCTAAAATAATGTACCCATGATCGTTATCATCATTACCAAGGAGGGGAGAGTGGGGCAGAGGGCAAAACCGACTTTATTGCGTGTTATTCCAGTTCTACAGGAAGAAAAATATGTGATTATCAAATGACAAATCATATGATTAGATGGATGATAACTTAGATGTGATAATCGGAGTACATTATGATTATAATTATACAACGTGTGTTTTTACCAGAGGTCAATTAGGACAAGGCACTCCGCTCTAAGTAATGTTCATTACCTTTGCAATTATGTATATCCCCGCTGAATCCATGTTTACAAATGCACTTGAATGATCCTTCGGTATTTAAGGATATGACGTTTTCACTGCTGCACTTGTGGGTATTTGTTTCACACTCGTTGATGTCTAAAATATAATCAATAGACCTCTGATCAAGATACTGAAAAACAGAGGTTGCGGTAAGGTGAGGAAGGAGATATGATGTGTTACGCTATTTGTCAGCATTGGCGAGTGAAGAAGCAAGTGAGCAATAAAATGAGGGGCTGCCGAGAGGAAAAATTTTCGCCCACTTTTTCCGGCACTGAATGTCTAGCCTGGGGTGAGTCTGCAACTTCAAAGAGACGGGATGGTCTCTAATAAAGAAAGAGGCATCCAAAACCTGAGGAAGGTGGCTTGAATTCTTTGCTGTTCATCGTAAACAAGACGCTTAACCAAAGTTGAGAAAAAGAGCATGAAAATTGGACTTGTGCTCCCATCCTTCTTTTCACCCACGATGGGTCATATTTAGTATGTGTCATAAGTACGACTGATTCTGAATCTTGAACCTTCTGAAGAAATAGACCACTGTGATAAAATCAAAAATTCGTTTCTATTACGCAAGTGTTACCTTTTTCACAATCGTGGCCGGTGAATCCAGACGCACATAAACATCGATATCGTTTTCTTGTAAACCCCGACTGGCGGGTGCCGTTGTTCTGGCATGAAGCTTGAGCGCAAAAAGTCTTCAACAGAAAGAAATAAATAATCTGGTGTTTTCCAGACATGAATAAAAAGAGTGCCCCTGGCCGAGCATACATAACAGGAGGTTTGCAATTCTCCTCAGTAGGTACCCGTCTACCATATCCGAGTGGTTTCAAAACTCTCAAGATTCATTTTTAGTTCCATTCCGATTGAGACACAATTTTTGAAGCTCAAGATGAATAGTAAATATGCTATATAATACTTGCTAAAAAAGAAGAAAAAACCTTGAGCTCTGTCAATCCACGAAAATACCTTTGGAGTCAACGGTTTTTTTCATTCCCAAACGCTGTTAGAATTATTGCTATCAAGAAGGAAACTGAGCTTTCTGACTTCAAGTGAGGCTTTGAGACTTTTGAAACTCTTCTTTAGCACATTATTTACAATACTATATATTAAGTATTGTTTGAGTTGACAAGTACCAAAACTGTTTTTGAATTACAGAAATCAAACAGTTTTCAGAATTTCAAATTCCAAACACAAAGCCACACATTCTGGTTATGAATTCTAGTAAAAGAAAAACCATTCCAGCATGCTGAATCAATCACGCGGGTGTCGTAAATGCAGGGAATTCGTTCGTTTTCCGCTTCTAAGCAGAAAATTCAGCACTTCTTTGAATTAAGCTTTGGTCTCTAAATATTTATTGATCGTTTTCGCCTTGCCTTTTAGCGATAGTTTTCTGGTATTAAGCGATTACCGTGAATACCCGACTCAATTATACTAACAATTTATCTATCCGCTATGTTATAAAATAATTGGTTCGTGCTCTTAGCGAGTAAATATCGTGTTATGGATCCACAAGGGAAGTTTAGAGAACACTCGAGAAGCTAAAATTGCAATTGGCTTTACCTCAAGCATCTCATTTCTTTCATGCTCTGCAAACTTCGTTCGTGCATCCATTTCATTCCATTTTCACGCGCTAAGCACAAACCATGCTTAATTTTACATTGCGATCTTTATTTTGTTTTGTTCTGTTTTGTTTTTCCATCATTCATATCAATTAGCCACCCGTCGAGTGAGAAGTTTTAATATGCCCGCTTATTCGCAGTCAGTACTCCGTTTGCATTATTGAAAACATAACTGCTTTCCCTGCATTTCAATGATATAACTTACTCATCAGGCTTCAAATATCGCACAATACAAAACACAGGAGGAGTGCTACAACGAGGAAAATGAGCATCGAATTCAGAGTTCTAAAATGCTACAAGAAAAACGTTTTGGTCTATTTTAATCACATGTCTGGATTATATTTTCAAGGTGGAAAACATTTCTCTACAAAAGTTGTCTTAAATAAAAAAATTTAAAAATATACATATATATATGTGTGTGTGTGTGTGTGTGTGTATGTCAACTAAATATGAAACCAGCGAATAGTTATGTACTCAAAGAAAGATTCTTATTCCACAAGAGAATGTAGCGCACGGCTTTTCATAACGATAGGATCCTTATAGCAAAAATCTTGTCATTAATTTTAGATGACCTTAATAGAACTTTAGTTTATTTTTATATGAATGTTTCAAAAGAATACAAGACTATAAGCAGCGAAAAATATGATTAGTTACGAAATTGAGTGAGAGGATTGTTCACTCATAACTTAAAATACTTTGCCGCCAAAATACGTTCACATGTAGTGAAAAAGAATCGAGAATATTTTTGAGCGAATGAAAGACAGAAACGCATTGATTTGATTTGTTACTTTAGGCCCCTACATGTATAAGCGAGAATTTAAGTATTTCAGTCCTTGAGAATTCGCGTTCCCTTTTTCTAATTTAGTAAATTGTATGGCTGAAAATTTTAAAGGAGAAATATAAAAGTTTCTTATCCACAAATGAAAGATTTGAAACCTACCATCTAGGCAGGGTAGAACTTGTCCGTGGGAGAGGACCACAGAGGTGAAGAGCAAGTGGAGAAAAACTCCCATGTTCTCAAAATCCAGCGGGAAAGAAATCCTTTCGATATTTTGTAGCTGTCGAGAAAATCGAGAAGCTTAACAGCAGTTTTTGACTGCAATGTACCGGCAGTTTAACGCTAAACTTCCTAGAAATATGATAGCCAATCACATTCTGATATATGAAAGATGTCTAACAACCCGCCACAGAGACGCTATTAGATTAAATGATGTGTACTAAAATAGATAACTTTGTTAGTTTTCTCCTCACGCAGTTATTTCCATCTTTCACTCGCTATTCTAAGGGATCCTTTTTGTATACGTTTCAATAATTATAAGCAGCATCAAAAGAAAAAAAAATAGTAGTCAAACTCAGTAAAAATGCAAGCGCACGAAAAAAAAGCCTACAAATCTGTTTTCTTAAGATTTCAAGTTTCTAACTCTGTGGTATTCTGACCAAGTTTTCAAGGAGACTTTAAGGCACGTTTTTAGAAAACATGGCTTCACTGAAGGGAACTCTGTGGTTCAGTGCCGCTCTCGGTAAGAGAGTGCCTCTCGAATTCCCGTCGGGAAAAAGTTTCCCTTTACTTTTTTGGACATAAAAAACAGTTTAAGACATATGTCTCTGAATAGTTTAGTTGCTCTCGAATTCTCTTTTTTTTTGCGTCGTTATAAGCTAAAATTGATTTTTTGGCTAAACCCCTGAGACTGCTCACGGAATTCTCTCTCTGGCTTCAGTTGCAGGATTTTTCCAGTTAGAGTATAAACAAAATATGGAAACTTTACATGAAATCTTATTCATACCAGCGCGATCAGAGTTTCGAATATAATTTGCATACCAAAAATCCAACAATGTGTACGAAAGAATTCTTAATATGTAGTCGTAAATCGGGCTGGAAAAACATATCAGTGGAAAGTTTCTACACCAATTGGTCACTGATAGCCACTAGCTTTCATCTACCAACATCTTGAAAACAATGCAAATAAATGCGTTTCCTTCGATGCGCTATTGTCAGAGTTCATTTGCAAAATTCTGAAAATCAACGAAGACATGTTTTTGACCGTTTTAACTTCTTTCATTTACCTCCTACATAAAGGGTTTTAAGTTTTAAAACAACTGGAAGTGAAAAGATCCTCAGTTTTCCTGAATCGTCGCATAAACTTTATCACTCGTAACGTTTGCATGACTTACTAAGTAGGCGGTCATGAACAAGCGCCTCTTCGATAAGTTTCATCGTATCAGGTTACAAACCAAACACATAGTGGAGAAGTTCAAAATTAGCCGATAGAATTTGGCATTCTCGTCGTTATAGAGATAATGCGTCGCTAAAACGGCACGCAAATATGTTAAAATATGTTACAGTGTGTTTTAGTAAACAACACGTATACACTCCGCAAGGTTATTCTTCCTTTTTTAATCGATTTAAACTTTAACAGAAAATCTCCCAGGTTTTACATATAGTTAGTATAAATCAGTCAATCAAACAGTTCTTTGAAAAGCTACCTGAGGGGCCTAAAGGTGTGAAATTGGGAAGTGATTTTACTTTTTACTTCTTTTTTCCTGTATAAAAGGATTTGAGATGATTAGATTTGAAGTCTGAAACAAAAATGAAAACAGGAACTAGACTGGAATTTAGATGAACTGCTGCAATTACTACTATGACTTCTGTTTTCTGCAATACAAAGAGTGTGTTTAAGAAAACCAAATACAATAGTCAACTAGTTTAGAACTCAGCCCAGCCATTCATTAATTTGCACAGCACCGTCATCGTTTATGTTCCCACCAGACAAACCTGAACAGTCTTCACCACTGCAGTACGAGCTCCCTCCACCTCCGGCCTGGTGCTTATGAGTACCACTGCCTCCCCCAGAGTATCCACCACCTCCGCCTGATGCCCCATTATCTTCTGAACCACCTCCCCCACCTCCAAACCCACCAACTGCTCCTGGTGCAGGGCCCCCATTATTACCGCTATTCAAATTTCCGGCTTGACCTCCGATCCAGCCTTGGGCACGTGATCCACCTCTTTCCCCATGGGAGGAGCCTAGTCGGGTACAACCTTGACCAAACCAACCTGCACCTACTCCTCCATGGTAGCTAGCGCCCTCGCTGTTGCATTCACCTGGCTGCCCATCTGTACCTCCATTACGAACTTGTGACGAATCTTTCCCTTCACTACTGGTGCCGGTTGATCCCGCCTGACCATCCACACCATTATATCCACCCGACGCACCCCCTCCTCCTCCGGCAGCCAGCAACAAAACATCATCTGTAGTGTAAACAAAACTTCCTCCCCCTCCTCCAGTGCCAGCATTGTCTTCCACGGACACTCCTAGTTGAGCTGCTGTTTTTTTTGTGCTTTGTCCTCCTCTTACTTCAACCGAATCCCCTCCTCTTTGTCCCACCACAATATTTAACACTGTTCCTTTATTCAGTCTGAACTTGCCTTCTATAAACGCTCCCTTTCCACCATAATATGTTCCTGGATTGTCTCCATAATCGTATGAATGTGTTCCTCCCCGAGCTCCCCAGGCTTTGATGAGATAGCGGGTGGTCCGTGGAACAGTGAACGTCTGTATAATGCCAAAGGATCCTCTTCTCCCATCGGCCGTAAAATTAACTTCGGTATGAAAAAGGTTAAAAGAATTAGATTGTGCAATTAATGCAATATCTGTTGAACATAAGCCACTATAACATCTATGAAAAATATAAATTCAATGTACATTTGGAAAGGAAAAAATATTTACGCCTGAAATGTCCTATGAACATGGAATTTTAGGGGAAATTGCGCGGCCTTTATCTTGACTTAGTTGTTTTTTTCCCCCTGTATATTATCACCTTCAATAGAACAACGAACCGAGAGAGCTGCACACTTGACAAACACTACTGAGGATAGGGTCAACACCAGGAAATTAAATTGGAAGATGTCTAGGATTTATTTTCCGCCGTATCGCTGACACGCAAAATAAACTCTTTGCAGTAAGATAAAATTAAATATAAAGTTAAAGAATATCAAATCGAAAGAAAACAGTGCAAAGATTCCAGAACATTTGCATCGAACTTTTAAATTTAAATAAAGAATAAATTGTTGACGCGAAACAATTTCAGTTCTAATGAAGTAATAATCGAATAAAGCTCAGAGAAATAACTCCCTTAGTAGGATGCAAACGAGTCAAGAGTTATCAAATCCTACTTTGAAAAACTTAGATTCTTATAAATATGCAATTATTGCTGTCATCTATCATCGTACATGGATTAAGGTATGAAATATATAGATAGGATAAAAGATGGGATTGAAAAAAATCTGCCATGTGGCGCTTATTCGTGGGTGACGCGACTTAGGTTGATTTTAGTTTCCTGCTGTTAGATTAACAGCCGACCATCTGCTCTGTAAGGGCTGTCACAACATTAGCTGCTTCATAAATAGTTTCCAAGGAACAAATCTTAAACATTCTAGAACAATTCTAGCTTTTCTTTGACATAGTAGCAATCTTTTCCAGGTGATTCCACCACCAAACGATCAGACTTACGTTCAGCAACAAAAAAAGTATTGCACCTGACAGAAAAACTGACAGTTAGCTTTTATGCTAGGACAATAAGTGTTACTGTAAATCCATTCTGTTTAACTGCTTTACACTACCTTCGCTTTTCATGTCACAATGAGCCAACAGAGGAGTGCCAGGTTTGATGAAATTCAGCCAGTATTTTCCGCTGACCGCTTGTCCACCTTCGCTTGCCTTGATTTCCTTGCACGAGTCTGCAGACAGCTCGGGAATGGCTCCGAGGATAGCTAGAAAATAAGAAAACGAGAAAGGGAAGAAAAAATGCGAAATCTTCCCCTCCAAGACAATAAGCCAAATCATTTTGCCTCAACGCTCACCTCTCTTCATGTCTCGTCTGAAGTAATATCTCTCAGAGTTGGGTACAAAATCTTCAGGCCTGGCTTCCTTTGTACGGTTATTCAGCTCACACTTGTCTTGGGTGAACACATAGTTAAAGCTTTGGCATCTGACGTCACGATAACACTCCCGCAAACACACTACACCGAATGCCGCTCCAGTGATTGTTTTAAAAATGTGTTTTTGAAGCATCTTACCAAAGATGGAGACTTCACGTGTATCACAGTGGTACTGAGTAACAACTGAGTGAAACAATACCAACATGAAGAGGAGAACTGGTAAATAAAAGAACTCTTGGACTCCCATTGTTGTTAATCTCACCTGAAGTGAAATCATAAAGTTTGAGAACACAGTGATACAAATATGTAGACTCCCTGAAAAACAGGGAATACGACAACTGCAGAGCCACTAATTGTTTGGCTGTTTTTCAAGCAGTATGACATATTGCGCACATGCATGAGCAATATGTCATGCATACGACAAATTTAAAGCTTGATGTGAAAAAGCAAGCGTGAGATATGGCACAAGTCGATAAGACACGGAAACTAAAATAGTCCCATTGAGCGTTCGTCTATGGCTTAATCAAAAGTTTGACTTATTTTTTCTAATAAGAAGTTGTCAAAGCTCAATGGCAAAGACAGTTTTTACTAAGTACAGCGAACGGTCGTCGCCTCATTGCATGCAAAAAAAGACATCTAAATATAAAGTAACAGACTCCTTTAAGACCCATTCGCTGACGTACTAGCAGCTCTTTCTTCTGATCCAAACATTCACGCTATACTTATAAAATAGCACACGGTTCGCTGCCCCTTACAACGCTTATTAAAATTTCCCAAAATGATATATTTGGTTTAGCTCTATCCTATCATGATGATAACAGAACCATAGGGTACTTCTCCTATGCTATGAACTTGCCTTAGTGAGTATCGCAGTCTCTCTTCACTTTTCAAAATCGACAAAGAGGTCTTTGGAAACAAATTGACTTTAAATGGACCTTTACATGTATCGGAAGAGGAACTTTACAGACCACAACATGTTTAAATGATAAAAGTATGAAATACGATGCTCTTTTAAAACTTCTTTCAATACCACCTGCAGACTTCCTTTGAAAAAATTTCTGCTGAGATTCACGCAGAATTTCCGTTTTCTTGGAAATTCAAAATACGAAGTCGTTGTTATAATGCAAGTAAATGGCAACGAAACTCTTCGTTTTATCTAATAAAAACTTTTTTCAGAATTATTTGACTTTTGAAAACTCGTTTCTAATTATCATTTGTTTGACACAGCTTTAACATTGTTCTTGTTAGGAATAGGGCAGAACTGTGAACGACACCTAAATAATTTCCGGTCCAACCAGACTTAAAAAGCATTTTATAATATTATTGCTGCTCTTTCTCCTTATTTCTCACACCTATTTATGCGCTATTGACCTCCTTTATTCATTTTTATATCAAAATGTGAGACCTCAGATAATTTTTCTGCCTCTGGATCTGTTTTTTCAATTTGACAAGAGACACTTCTTTCCTATCACTTTTGGTGAGAGTTCTGCCGTGTACATTTTACATTTTTTTTCAGTGCAGTCACTGCTGGTGCCTAAAAACCATGGTTGATCTCAGAAAGGAGCAAGTTTAAGAGACAAGTTAAGTTTAAGTTTTCATCACGCCAAACATTAATAGAACAGAGAATACTGGCGGTCATCATGGCGGTCGGTCAGGCGTGTCGGTCGCTCCGTAGGCTAAGCGGCTTTTTATTTCTTTTAGTGTTGTTTAGCCGATTTAAACAGCACTCCGTGGAATCTACATCAACACTGCTCTATGTGGGGACTAGACTGTCCGCAACTCCTTTGGTAGAGGGTGGAAGAACACTTTTCTCCGTGTTCGTTCGCCCATCCCAACGACGGCCATGTTCTATTCCAAAGATACTCGAGCTTTGCAAGCAGTCTGGTGTTGCTCTTTGCCTCATCTACTTAGCTGGCGACCTTGAACTTAATCCTGGGCCTGCAGCGAGGAATGTCTGTGGCATATGTAGAAAGATTATCAAGAAAAACCAATCTTTTGCGGACTGCTCGGTTTGTTTAAAGTCGATCCATCTTACATGCTTTGCGCCTGACTTAAATTTTAACAAATCCTGTAGTTTGTGCCCCTGTCAGAATCATTCTGCTAATGAAATCGAGAACAACTTGGACGATAATGGCCTATTTCTATCACAGAAGTTAAGTGACATCTTAGCGATCAAAGGCTTTAAGATTGTCCGCCAAAATATTAGGAGTCTAACTGGTAGGATTGATAAATTGCGTCTCATCGCTTCCGAACTGCGCTCGAGTCTACAGTTTATGAGTTTCTCTGAAACTTGGGCACATAAAGAAATTTCAGACTCTGAGCTTGAGACAGAGGAGTTAAAGGGGGTGGCCTTGCAGTGTACGTAAAAAATGATGTGAAAGTTATGCGTAGGCCCGACCTTGAGGAATCGACTATGGAGGGTCTTTGGGTCGAAGTTTGCCCACCAAAGTCACGTAGCTTTCTAATTGGAAAATTTAATAAGCCGCCAACGTCTTTAAATCATGCGGTCAAAGACTCCATGCCTATATTTGATAGCTGTCTTAAGCGTGCTATGGCTATAAATAAGGAGGTGATCATTACTGGCGATTTAAATTGTGATTTTTGCCAAAACGGACTACAGAGTCGGACTATAAACAACTCAAGGCGCTACTGAGACAAGGAAACCTTACTCAACTCATAAATCAGCCCACTCGCATCACTCAATACTCCAAACACTCCTGGATATTATTATCACGAACTATCCCCACAACATTAGAGAATGCGGGGTTTTGAGTTTGAGTTTGAGCGATCATGATATGGTTTTTTGCATAAGAAAGTTAAATTGGATGAAAGCTGCCCCAAAAACAAAGATTTTCAGGAATTATGCTAAATACGACCCTGCAAAGTTTTGTGAAGACCTTAGAGGGGTTAATTGGGTTGTGAATATCGATGGTAAGGAGCTAACACGGGTTGCTGAGTGTAAATACCTTGGAGTAATTTTGGATGAGTCGCTTTCATGGAACGCACACGTGAATTATTTAATCAGCAAAGTCAGTAAAAGATTAGGAATTCTTGGCCGCACTAGGGGGAGCATTAGTATGCATACTGCTGGTATAATTTATGGATCATTTATTCTTCCTGTTCTTGATTATTGTGATACCGTTTGGAATTGTTACGGACGTATAAATGCTGATAATATAGAAAAACTACAGAGACGTGCAGCAAGGATTATCATGCAAACCAACAGCAGTGATGAAGCGCTATCTCACCTTAGATATGATACGCTGGGGCTTAGACGGGAGACTCATGCGCTAAACCTTGTGAAGAAATGTTTGAATAAGCGCTGCCCGCAATTTTTAATGGATTACTTTTCTTTTAATAGAGATATTGTACAGAGAAAAACGAGGCAAAGTAATCATCTCCGTTTTCCCTCCATCAAACGACAATGTACGAAAAAAGCTTTCTATTATCATGGATGTGAAGTTTTTAATCGTAATTTATAGTTTTTATTAATAGTTGTAATAATTTTAATGTTGTTTTAGGATATCTTTCTATTAGCTAAGTTGGAATAGTTTTATGTACTTTTAACATTTGTATATATATTAGGGCCTCTAAGGATATCAGTTTTTGTAACTGTAGGAGTTACCCTAACCAAATAAAAGCATCTTCTTCTTCTTCTTCCTCACCATAGTCCAACATTATCATACCAGCAGGTGCTGGTGAAGCTTATTAGCATCCCAATAAGAGTTGAAATTTTTAGAGCACAGTGAAAGAAATATGTGGCCGTCTACAGAAAAACAGGGAATTCGATAACTGCTGAGCCACTTATTGTTTTGCTTTGTTTCAAGCGGTATGACATATCGTACACATGACGAGCGATGTGACATGCAAACAACAAATTTAAAGCTTGATGTGAAAGGCGTGCATGAGATATGACACGGGTCGATCAGACACGGATACTGATAACAATTTCATAGCGAGCTCGTCTATGGTAAATCAAAAATTTTCAGCCAAAATCTCAAAAGCGTATGAATAATTTAACAAAAGGAGGTTCTGACATCAGTGAATCGTGTTTTGAAAGGAAAATCGAGCATGAGAGCTTCACTTTTTCATGACAGAGATGTGAGTTAAATCAGGCTTAAGGTATTTAGTTCATTAATACATTGCTAAACTGGCTTCTTGAAGTATGTCCCTTGAAATAATGACTTGGCTTCCTGAGGAAAGCCTCTGTGGTCAGCTGCATAACAAATTATAGGACAAACTAACTTAAAACCATCCAAGGTGAAGCCATAGGCTCCACTTCTCTTAGTCTGCTTGTGATACATATTAAATAAAATTAATCTTTTAGAAAGGACTTTGGTACTCACTCAAGACTGTTCCCCATTACTGGCAACTTCCGGTCATCATCATTTTTTTCCGTAGTGTGAGTCGAGTTTCTGTCGGCTGAATCAAACGCAAACTTCTGGCTGATTTTCAGTAGCGATAGAAAAATCCAAAATATCCGTATACCTGCAAAAAACTACAAGGCTTGCGAGAGTTCTCTTCTCAGAAAGATATCTAAGCCCTGTCACCTTGGCCTTGTTTTGGGGCACGACCAGCCGTCTACCTCTGGTATGTGATGTGGGAAGTGGACTGTCATGCAAATTAATAGTGGGGGTAAGTTTCTAAAGAAACTGTGGTGTTGCATCGGTGGGAGAGTATAACAGGGTAATTTAGTTTATCAACTAAAGTGATAACGTAAATTGCCCACCGTAAAGAGTTTAAAGTCTCTAAAGGCTGACGTTTCGAGCGTAAGCCCTTCGTCAACAGCTTCGTTACCCCTTCGTCAGAGCGATTCCAATCGCTCCAATTTACAATTTACCTTATCAACTCAGTTGATTAAACTATTGAAATAACCCTGTCATGCAAATTATTGACGTCGGGTCTCTCCACCAAAATTAAGTCGCAGTAAGAATTTTTAATAAAGCAAAAGAAACACAACAGGTATTGTCCTCAATGCATATTAAGTATTTAATTTTTGATTAACACCAGAGAATCCACTATGTGAGACTAAGTGGATCAAAGTTTTGCAGAAAATCGAAAAAGCTATGAAATTGTATATAATAAAAATATTTTTTTCTACGATGGTGTCACTTTGGATCGCGACGTCTCGATCGATCGCATCTGACCGCATGGTTCCAACGATCAAAGAACACAGCTGCAGGTGTATCCAGTCGACCTTTTCACCCTAAGAAGGCTTGCAGCATACAGATTCGATTCACATAGTAT